CACACTATTATTCTTTCATACTGTGTTTCTTTCATACAATCATTACATATGTTTTATAAAATCAAACACCATTGGACCTTGCCCATCATTACCCAATCTTTTCAGGTTCCTGCCTGACCCTTCCCATTTCCTTCACTCTACCCTCCACCCACCAGACCTGCAACCCTGTGGTTTCCATCTTTCTCTCAAGGAGCAGCCGGTGCGTTTAAACTGCCTGTCTTTGGGTTGACAATATAACTTCCTACCACTAGGCCGCCAGAGTTCCCTAAATAAAGATTACAGACAGAAAAAGGAAAGTAATCTCATAGATGGAAATACATTGCTAAAAATATTTCCAATTCCATAAAACAGATCTCGAAGGGGCCTGAGAGTGTCTGCTGCACAGATCTCACTAAATATGAAGATACAGAGCTCTGAGCTGGGAAGTAATTGCTTACGATCATGAAGATCATTAACATCAGAGCAGGGACTGGGCCCAGGTCTCCTGGCGGCTCAGAGCCCTCAGCCCTACACCACACTGTGCTGTTTCTCCATAGTAAATGCGAGTAAATGGATTTCATGTCTGTGTGTTCACTCAAATGCTGCCAAAGCCATAAGACTAATTAATGACCCTGCAAATCCCACAGCATTCTCTGAAAATCACAATCTAGCGGGAAGCATTACAAATACAGGTTTGGTTCAGTTCTGTGCGCCCTTGCAATTGCTCAAGTGGGCTCTGGGGCCCAAAAATAAATAATCTATTTTCTATAACAATCAGGAAAGAAGAAAGAGTAGGAAAATGTCTCCTTTTTCCATTTTAGGTTCAAGTATTACAGCGTAACCTAAATTTAGGACCTAGCCCCTCAAAGGGCAAAGCAGAGGCTGCTGAGATTAGGCTAAATATTATCTTTTAAGTTTCACAGCTTTTGTTAAAGCTTGGATTTCAGCCGCTCCATGACCTGAGGCGGAATTTGTTTCAGTCTGTGAGTCTCTATTAACTTCTTGACTCCTAAGGTTCCAGCAGCTTGAGTGGATGCGCCTCCAGCTACGTGACGGCTTAGCTTTCAAAGCCTGATGTTAGGGAAGGAGAGGACCCAGCCAAACATGACTTCAGGCGGGAGTCCTTTGAGGGCCAATCTGCCCCCGACTCCTGCTCCCTGTCCCCGAGGCTGGGCTGGTGTGGATACACGGTCTCTTACCATGTTCACTTAAGGTCTCATAAAGGAGAAGGCCAGTGTCAGCACATGGTTCACTAATTCATGTCTCAAAGCAGAACAACACACTGGCCAAATCGATAGCTTTCTGAGAATACTGGCTTTGCGTCTGAGCTGATTATTTCTAAATTTTTGTAAAGAACAGAAAGACTGAAGGAAATAGACAAGATGTTGAATTTATGTGACAAAATGCAAGTATTACTAGATCAGCTGGAAACACCTGCACAAAGGGGCAAACTCATGAAAAATACGTTCACAATGAATCAACATTGTAGTCCAGTGGCTTTGTCAAGGCTGGAGACAGAAACAGCAAAAAGAGGAAAGTTTCTCCCAGGTCCTTTGATTATAATCAATCACTACATTGTCTCTGATTATGCACAACAGTGAGGTGAACAGAATGAATTCCCAGGAAACAGGAGATGGCATGTTGGGGCATTATTCTGCTGCTTCCAACAGAGAGAATTACTTCCATGCGTATAGTATGCAAGGCTCAGGACTTTCAGAACACTGAAAGGCTCACAGACAGGCAGGCCCAGTGTTTGAATCTACACAACCTCCCAGGACGTTTCCCCACACGGTACTTTTGATTCTGGCTCCAGCTGGTCAACCAGTGAGCCACCCACAGGAACTGATTCAACGTTACTGGACTTTGTGTTGAAGAGATCTGAGGGAAGGTGGAAGATGAAAGCACAAACAAACGTCTGTCCCTGGACACCGGAAGCCTACACGGCCGGAGGAGCTGACATTTACTGAGGGCTTACAGGTGCCAGACACTGTACCACACCCTCCATATGCAGTATCCTTCTAATCCTCACAACCCCGTGTGGGGTGGGACTATGGTTACCCTCCTCTTATAGACGGGAAACGCTCAGCCTGGGAGGCTAAGTAACTCGTCTAAGGGCAAGCAGGTGCTGTAGAGCAGAGACAGGATTCAGTCTCTCCGAATTCACAGCCTATTCTCCTCATGAACCCACCACATTATTTTCCCACAGACTAGAAAAGCTACTCACAAAGATTAACCACAGTTAGCAGACACAAGAGGCCTTCAGAATTCACAGATTTTCCACCTCCAGCTTGGCCTCTTCAGGAAAGACCCACAGCATGCTATGGCACATGCCAACCTGTCACTTCACATAGGCTCACCCTGGACCAGCACAGGAGTGAGACCAAAGTGAGGGCGAGTGACTGAACAGGGGTGAGAGCGGAGTGTCTACCAAGCAGGACTGATCTGGTGGAAGAATGGAATTTATAGAAGTATATAGAATTATATCATTAACTCACTTAAAATCATAGTTTAAGTTCTTTCTAATATAGACATGAACAGAAATAGGTTTACTAAATTCGGATAAAAGTATGGAGGGAATTTCTGTCAAAGAATTTGTAAGAATAATTTTTGACCAGTGAATCGTTTACCCCCAAATGATTTTTTTTTTTTATTTCCATTCATTCGTTGTTGCCCTCTTCTCCCCTCCTAACCCTCCCGCCTAGTACACTACCCTCTTGGAAAAGTAAAAGAAAAATTCTTTCATTGTTTTACAATCCCTCCCCTGAGGTCGACTCTACTATGCAGGCTTTGCTCTGGACTCCCGTCATGACAAAAATACCTAATAACATATCACTTTTAAACAGTTTTCTCCCTCATCTGTTTCAATGCAGTATACATTACTGAACCCATCTTTCTCAGTGTCCCTCAACCACGATGTCAGTCCTGTTTTACAACAGTGGCACCATGCAGTATTTGTCCTTCTGTGACTAAGATACTAAGATACTTCACTCAGGTCACCCATTTTGAATAATACTGCATGAGTTCCTTGTTTTTCAATGCAGTGTAGTATTCCATTGTGTGAATATACCACAGCTTTTCTGTCCATTCGTTTGTTGATGGGCACTTAGGTTGATTCCAACTCCTTGCTATTGTGAACAAAGCCGTGATAAACATGGGTGTGCATATATCTACTTGGATGTCAGTTATGGTCTCTTTGGGGTATATTCCCAGTAGTGTAATTGCTGGGTCAAATGGTATTTCTATTTGTAACGTTTTGAGAAAGCGCTATACTGCCTTCCACAGTGGTTGCACCATTTTACACTCCCACCAACAGTGAATAAGGATTCCAGTTTCTCCACAACCTCGCCAGCATTTGTTGCTTGCTGTTCTGTTAAATTTTGCTATCCTGACTGGGGTGACATGATATCTCACAGTTGTTTTCCCAAAGGAGTATTTTTAAAAGTTCTTGTAACAGATCTTTGTTATTGTTATGTGCTGTCAAGTTGGAACCAACCACAGCTGACCCCTTCAGTGGGTTTTTAGAGGCTGTAAATCCCACAGGAGGAGACTGTTTTTCTCCTCAGGAGAAGCTGGTGAACTCCTGTGCCTCTGGATTGGTAGCATAACTCCTTAGCACTTGGCCACCAGAGAGCTCCCTCTTAAGAGCTAGGGGTGGAATATTATGGTTTCTTTCTTTTAAAAGTAGGTTAGACTGCTGTCTGAACTCATTATTATTCAGATTTTTAGATAGTTTGATTTGTTGCTGTTATTGCTGTGAAGTGCTGTGGAGCTGACTACGGCTCACAGTGAACCTATGAACAATAGATATGAACCTCGCCCTGTCCTGTGCTACCCTCACAATTTCTTGTACTTTCAAGCCTAATGGAACCATCACTGTATCAATCCATCTTGTTGAGGGTCTTTCTCTCTTTCTCTGACTCTCTACCTTTCTCAGCAAGATGTCTTGGCGGTAGCCAAGAAGAGGCAGTTTTGCAGTGTCATGTTCTCAATTCATCAGTGCTGAGGAACACACACTGTCAAGAGAGGTTTTGAAGCACAAGATTCAAGTGAACAGAGTGGGACTATGGGGGGAAGGAGTCCTGGGTGAGGTGAGCAGAGCTTCTTAGTACTGAGAGGATAAACTTTTTCCTGCTTGCTTCTCTTAGGTGTCTCTGCACATCCCACTAACCCTCCATCAGATTTCTTAGGCTGTAACCTTCACAGGATAAGACTGTTTCATCTTTTCCACCAGAGCGCAGCTAGTGGTTTCAAACAACCTCTGGGTTGGCAACACTGATGCACCAGGACTCTCTCTCACTACCACTGAATTGTAACCACCTCATAGCTGACCCTCTTGTGGAGTTTTAGAGGCAGCAAATACATCGGAGGAGACTACCCATCTTTCTCTCAAAGAACAAGTGATGGATTCGAACTACTTGCTTCTGGGTTGGAAGTTCAACTCCTTACCTCTAAGTTATCAGAGGTGCACATCTTCTGTGCACCAGGAGATCCAAAATAATCGAAACCTTAGTGCTTGTTGCTCATCTGCCCAGAACTCTTTTCTCTCAGGTCTTCACACCTGTGGCTCCGCCTCCAGCCCTAGGCCTCAGAGAAGCCTTCTGTGACAGTCTAATCTAACATCATTATTCCCTTCCATCCCTAAACCATTCTTCCACATATCCTGATGGCTATTCAATTTCTGTTGAAATTATTTTGGCGTTTATTTGTTAATCTGTCCATTACCTGTCTCTTTGCACTTCTCATATGTGAGCATATAGGAGAGAAATCTTTCTGTTTTATTCATTGTAGCATATGTGGCGGTGTACTAAGAACAATGCCTGATGGTTATTAAGAGCTCAACCAAACAAGCTTTTAACAAATAGGCAGAATAAGGTAAGAAGCAGTAGCCAGCTCATTACCCTGCTTAAATTCAGGGGAAATCAGTCCTTCTATTTTTTAAGTTTCACAGATTTATAGAAGCATATAGGTTTGATCTTTGGCAAAACCATAAGCAAAGGCTTGAAGCCAATTTCACATCTTACCTGTTCTGCTCCCACCATGCTAATTGGTTTGCACTTGAAGAGATGGGTGATGAACTTGGGAATGAAGGAGCTGTGGATTGAAAAGAAATGACAAATTAGGTTTATTCTCTTTGGTAAAAAGCTACACAAACTTTTTTTTTTAAGGCCCAGCTTACCTCCTCAAGCAAAACCAGATTCTGTTATTGCCAACCAGCATCTACTGGCTTTTCTTTCCTTTCCAAGTTCTGGTTTCGCTTTGTGTGCATGGCATGGCATGCTGGGAAAAGCTAGTCCCATCCTAACCTACACAGGCGAGTTTCAATTATTCACTGCTAGGCATGTCTAGGTGACAGCTGCTGGTCCTAAGAAGGGGACATCTTCTAAATTGTCATAATCAGATCAGAGGGAAGGGCTTCACTGCATGGCCAGGGTGAGGATTCCTCTTCATCCTTGGTGCACTGTTCTGATTGAAAATAACACTAAGAACTGTCATTTAGCCACAATTATGAGGATGAACCAGTCTCAAGGACAATGTAAAGATCTTGGGTTCTTAACGACACTGTTGAACCACTGATTCAACCATCCCTGGACCTGTCCTACCTCAGGACTCCCTATTAATGTGAAATAAAATTTCACAATTTACCTTTTGTGTAAGTCAGTTTAAATCAGGGCTTCTACTATTAACCAGTAGCTAAGAACATCCTCACAGGTCCTAACAGTAGAATGTGCATGAGGTGATAGTTGTTGTTACATACCATCGAGTCACCTGTGACTCACACGACTCTAAGTACAATAGCTCTGAACCTTGCTCCATCCTGAGCCAATCTCATCGTCTCTGACACACCTACCCCCATTACCCCACTCACTGAGTCAATCCAACTCATCTGAGCTCTTTCTTTCCTGCACTGTCCCTCCACCCTTCCAAGCATGATGTCCTTCTCCAAGGACTGGTACCTCCTGGTCTCATACCCAATGTATGTGAGATGGAGCTTCAAACTCCTTGCCTCCAAGGAGCAGAGGGTAACAGCCACATCAAGGAATAAAACATAGCCCAAAAAATCTACTGAATTGCTTTTCTCTTTGTGCAATAATTAATGGGTCGAAATCCAAGTTTTCTGTAAACTTTCACTAAAATAGTAATTAAAAAAATGAAAGAAAAAACTACTGGAGACAGAGGGACTTGGGCCTAGTAGATTGATGGTACCAGTTTTAGGTAAAGGGAGAATGAAATTGCAGTAAGTCAAGAAGCCTCTGTAGTAAGAATTGCAGAGGCTGACGAAGAAAGAACTGGATGTGCTGGTGTAAACAAGACTCAGAAATGCATGGAGTCAAAGCAGGACCCGGAGGGCGTTGACCAGGGCATCATAAGGACCACAACCAAGGGTAATAGTGGTGGAAATAAAAGCGGCTTTGCAGGCTGCTAGCTAGCACCTCTCTTCGCTCTGCAGGCTCATGACCTCCTGCCTCTTGTCTCTCTACATCCTTCCCAGGACTCTGTAAGTAACACCTGACATCTCACTATAATGGCCGACTGGTACCTCAACACCAGCCTGTCCAAGCTCAAGCTCTACAGTATAATCCAATCTCAGTGGACTGGAAATCACCAATTCAAACACTCCAGTTAGAAACTGGGGAGTTAGACAAGACTGCTTCCTCATCTTCCACCCTAAAATCAATCAATCCAGTCAGTGACCAACCCTCTTTCTCTGAACATGTCCCATAAGCCATTTTGACTTCTCTTATCATTTCTCATTTAACCCCCTCAATGTCTTCCCATCTGGCCTCCTGGCCTTTAGCATCTATCTCTGACAGTCATCTGGTACCAAATGGAAATATGACCAAGTCTTTGATGGGATCGTCATGGCTGCAGACAAGGCCTTACTGCTCTTGATCCACCCGAGCCTCATCATTTAAAGTCCTGGCAGTCTATGTTCCATCCTGCAAGCTCCTTGGAGATTCCCATGATTCAGCAAGCTACTGAATGGCTCCATGCCTTGGCTTCTACGGCTCCTTCTGCCGGGCACACCTTTTGCTGGGGCTTTGTGGATCAGTACATACACTTCTCTCAGGATGGTTTTTCAATGATGTCTGTCCTCAGGCATCCCCAGGTCCTGACCTCTCTCCCTCCTCTGTGTCCCCACCATACTCTACAAAGATTGCACAGAACTCTATCCAAACAAATAATCTACTCGACTATTCATATCTAGTCTCAGGTTTACTAGCCTCCATTTGATGGTAAGTCAGATGAACAAGGGGACTAAGTCTATTAAGCACTGAATTCTGTGTCTGGGTCACTGAAGGTGCTCAAGTGAATACCTGATGTGAGAATTATAAAACATGTTTTAATACCGGCAGTTGTCATCACATACTGTCTAGTTGGAACTGACTCATAGCTCACCTCCCAGGTTTTCCGAGGCTTTAAAATGCACGGGAGGAGATTGTCCATCTTTCTCCTGTGTGTAGCTGGTAGATTTGAACTGTATGCCTTTGGGTTGGCAGCACAACTCCTTACCATTCTGGTCACCTCAATGGTGGCAGTATTTTTTTTTTAAAGCCAGTTTGATACCAGAACTTTAGGAGAAAGCTCACGTGTATTTTCTCATTTTATCCTCTGATCACTATAAGAAGTGGGTCTTGTCATCTTTATTTGCGAATAAAGAAAGTCAGTTTAGTGAGTGGGGGTTCAAATTGTGGTTTCAACTGTGCATATGATCTTCAGATCTAAACAGGAAACGTTTTGTTGCTTCAGAGAACAACTGGTAGCAAAAGAAAACATCCGTAGCTTTGAATTGATTGGGTAAGAAAGGAAGTTAAGGGGGAAGGAACTTGCACCCTAGAGACAGATCTAGAGGAAACCTCCAGATCAGAAGGAGTGAGAACGGGGATGGCTTGGAAGGGGTTCTCCAGCGCTCTACACCAGGGCCAGGCCAAACATAGCAAGAGGCTGCTTTCATCCTAGGTCACTTCACACTAGAGTGAGCTCTGGATATGCCTCAAACCCTCTCAGTGCACTGAGCTACAGGGGTCAGGACAGGAGAAAGGTAGAGAACAGGAACTTGTCTTTGGGGAGAAGTCCCAGGGGTATGATGGGTGACTATCAACAGATCCTCCAGCCATCCCCCCTCTCGGTGGTGCCAGCTATTATTCTGGACTGAGTAAGTCTCCTCACAGTCCACCTCTGAGGTTCCCAGACTCAGACTGGAATAATACAAAGATGAGACGGCATCATGGATTAAAACCAAAATTTACATTCGAGATCACTGGTAGAACTTTTCCAGATGTGAGAGAAGGCTACCTTCGTCCCAGTTCACTCAACCTGGGCTTAGTAATAAAATTAAAGGGCTCAGAGGGCTTGGAGGGAATAGGAGGCTGATGCCGGGACTAGCAGAGTCAATAGACTTCTGACTCACTTTCACTCACTTTAAGTCAGACCCCTGTGCAACCACTCTGGGGATGTTTAAGCATCATAAATTTTTACATTGACAGTGTTTCTACCTGTGGTTAATGGGAAGGTCAGAATGTGATTTATCAGCCGTGCTTTCCACACACACACTAATGAGCACCCGGAGAGGGGAGGGAATCCAACTGATGGCTCATCTGCCACAGTGCAAACAGTAACGCCTCCCCCGAGGGGCCACTCTGGTTTTCCTTGACAAACTGGAGCCCAAAGCTAATGCCCCCAGCCACCCCGAAATTGTTGCTCCTTAAGGATTTTTTTGTGAAGAGAGGAAAGCCCTAATTGAATATAAACTGAGAGGTCTGGGGAAGACAGAAACTTGGAGCCCTGACTCACCATTTGGGACTTGGATGAGAACAGCCTAAATACAGTAGCTTGGACTGGGCTGATGTTCCCAAAGCCCTGCCCTGAGTGGTTTGCCAAATCACTAGTTTGATAATTGGTCAGAGGAGACTCTGACCCTCTACACTGCCGAGTCTCGGGGGGAAACAGTGTTACAGCCAGATGCTGACTGGAAAAGGACCAAGCTACTTCTCGACTTCAAAACTCAAGCCAGAAGGGGCCACCCAGGAGGACGTCCAGGGAGATATACAGCTTGGTGTTCCCTCATCTACCTTGGCAATGGGGCTCCCTGACTCGCTCTTCCCATTTTCTAGGATATTCCCCAGACTCAGGGATGTCCACAAGTGGATAAATCCTGAAAGTCACAGTACTATGTTAGTATTGTTGTTGTGTGCCATCGAGTCGGAGTCAACCCACAGCTGACTCTCCAGGAGGTTTTCAGAGGCAGTTAATTATATGGGCGGAGACTATCCATCCTTCTCCCGTAGAGCAGCTGGTGGATTCAAACCATGTGCCTTCAAGATTGAAGCACAGCTTCTTACCACCAGGCTACCAGAACGTCCTATGATGTCTTACGGAGAGAAACAAAGTGAGGGCTCAAAGGAAACAGAACCCAATAGTTCCTCCAAGTATAATCCAGGAGGAGAGAGGAACCATATAAATGAAATCACTGAGATTTAATTCTAACTACCTCTGCCTGCAGAGGAGAGGCATAGCCACATAATTCAAAATAACAGTAGCCCCAGCTCATTTCTGTTTGTCTTAATGTGGCTAATACCTAAATTATTATTGTTGCTATTAGGAGTTTAAGTAACAGGTTCACTTGGTTTTTGTTTTTAACAGGTTCAGTTTTATGATCATGTTTTTTGTAGATACAAATTAAAATTTGTTTGCCTGCAGGTACCAGAAGGAGCCCCAGCTGGATGGTGGGGACATCTGGGTTGTAAATGTGCAGGGGGTAAACTAAAACATCCTCTATCACCCAGTCAGACTGACTCAGAGCTGACCCTCCAGTGGGTTTCTGAGGCTGTCAATCACACAGAACAAGGCTGCTCATCTTTCTTTCTTGGAGCTGCTGGTGGGTTCAAACAGCAAGAGAGCGCAGCTCCGGGTTAGCAGTGTGACTTCGTATACAGTGTATCATCAGGGCTGTGGACATTTGAAACACCCCTGAGGAGATGCACCAGAACTCACTTTGCAAACTTAATGCAGAACTGAGTGAAGTACTTCCGCGTGGAAGCAAGGTTATCACGGATGATGGGGACGTTCTGCTTAATGTGAAGAATGACAGAGGTGACGTAAGGGCTCTGGTCACCAACGTGCTCCACATTCTGCCACTGCATCTGAAATAAAGAAGGACAGAGCAAGCCTTTAGATCCTCCTCGGCTTCATCTATCACTGGGACAGGATCCGGTGGAGCAGGGATTAAGACCACAACTATCTCAGAAAGTGGTATTTTGGGTTGGGGAGTTTGCCCAATCCATTCTGTAGTGGCTGATCATGAATAAAAACAAATGTGCCCACCCAGTCCTTGGCAGCCCCGTATAATTCAGATCCTTTCTCTCCTCTGTCCTCATGTTTTAAACAGCCTTCCCCTCCCATCTACACTGCCACTGTCTGAAGAACTGGAATCCTTCATCCTAGACAGATGAACTGAGGATTGTATTCTTTTCTAGGCTGTTTCACTGTAGGGGACTGAAGGAGCACAGAGGAAGGACAAAAGCCTGGTGGCTTGGGAGAAAAGCGGCTGGGCTGAAAGAAAGGAAACTTCAAAGAGAATTCATTTATACTTTTCAAGTGAGCTGGAAGCATCTGGGGGCTTCTGAAAATAACTACTAGTGATATGATGTGTGAATTTGTTTCAAAATGACTTGGGGCCGAGGGAAAGGATGGGGACATAAAGGAAACATGATTCAAGAAGGGCAGTGTAGATATGTGGGGTTCATTACACTATGCTTCTTACTTGTATTTATACTAGAAATTTCCATGATAAGGTGGGGAAGGGGGGGCGTAATCTCCAGTAAACCTAGGGTAGGACAGTGACATGGAGAATAGGATGGACAGAGGCACATAGGCCACGAGGATGACAGGAGCAGAGAGAGGAACATCACCGGAGGGCTGATGTGGTCCCTGGCCAGGCCATGAACATTGACAAGAAGTCTGCTTTGGCCTAAGTACTAACAACATAAGGAGAATCCACAGAAATGTTCTGGAAAAGATCTACAGTAAATGGCAATGGCTAAACTTGTAATAATTGGCACTTAACCGCGCTGGACCCTAGAAAATAGAAAAAGAACCAGCACTGGCAGGCCTCTTCCCCTCAGGTAACCACAGCAGGGTAGAGGCGGCATGGGTGCCACTGGTCAACCCCCTTGCTGCAGGGAACAGGCACTCCCATCCTGAAAAGAGGAGGAACGTGCTGGAGGAATTGTGCTGAGTCAGCCTCCCGAAGTCAGTCTAGGCTGGACTGTCTGTTAAAAAGATCCTAAGCCAAGTACAAAGCATATAATATGTTCACAGAAGGAGGTCAGCAGTCCTGAGGCCTTGATGTCTCTGGCAGGGAAACACTATTTTTATAGCTCCTTTGGGGGAAGGAAAAAATCCAGTACTGAGAGGACTTGTTTGAAAGAATCATGTTGTACATGGATGATTCCCCAGCTCCTGGGAAGCTCAGATGACTCTACGCCTTGTCCTAATGTTTCCTCAAATCAGCAAAAATCTGTCTGCTAGAAGCCTTAGGTATATGCAAGCACAGAACTACAGAACTGCAGGAAAAGACCAACACCCAACTTCATTTTACAGATAAGAAAATGCCCAGTGACACAGTCTCATGCCAAGGTCCCACATTCGGCTACTGATAAGAAAAAACATCTCTTGCAGTTTTTAATAGGGGAAAAAAAAATGGAAACAAGCACTGGAAAAATAGCAGAAAGGTCTAGTATGAACCGACTTTATATTATAATGCTTTGGTCATGTGTAATATTTTCCTCATTATCTTTTAAAATCCAAGAGGCATCTTTTTCCATCTGATCTTGAAGATTTGACCCACCCAACTGATGAGCATCTTAGCTGATCTAAATGAGCTCACCATGGTGAGGCCAAAAATGACAGGTGCTGTTAATGTCTACATTTCATCTTTTCCCCAATTCTGCAACAGAGCTTGATGCAGCTTGAGAATGTCCTGGGTGAACAGGGTAAGCCAGGCAGGCAGCTCTGGCGTCTCCCTCTCTTGTTCTCATGAGTGAAACCCTTCCATAGTAATTATTACTGCTTGCTAGTTGCCAGTATATTTTCTATTTAAAAATCTCAACCATTTAGGAAGAACTCTTCAAATACTACAGTTCTTCGTTAACAGATGGCCACCAATGGATGTGGAGATACTCTCTGTCATTGGCTACAGAGCAATTCTGAAGCAAGAAAGACTGTGGGACTCGAGATTTCTTCAAGCTCTTACTGTTGTCTTTGTACAAAATCTACGCCTTGATAGATGCTGGTCATGTTAGGATGTGTTTAAAGTTGGAACATTATGCAAAAATATCTTATTTACTTTAATACTTCAACCAGTTATGGTTTTGATGGCCAAAACACATGGTAACATGCTGTTACCATGGAGGTTAACTGTGGATCCAATCTTTTCTCCACTTTTGAAGTCAAAAGAAATATTAACACAAGTCAAACAAGATTCATTTTTAAAAAGTGAGCCAGCGTAACAAATGTTGTTGGGTGCCATCGAGTCAACTATGAACCTATGAACAACAGATCTGAACCTTGCCCTATCCCGTACCACCCTCAGTATCTCTGATATGCCCACTGTCATGGTCACTGTGTCACTCTGTCTTGTTGAGGGCCTTCCTCTCTTTCTCTGACCCTCCCCTCCACATTTCCCAGCATGATATCCTTTTCCAGGGGCTGCTCCCTCCTGACAACATACCCCAATGTGAAATGAAGTTTCACCATCGTTGCCTCTGAGGAACCCTCTTGGCCGTAGTTCCTCCAAAACAAGTTTCCTCGATGTTTTGGAAGTTTAAGGGATATTCAGTCCTCTTCTCCAAAGCCACTATTCAAAGGTGCAGATGCTTCTTCTGTTGTTTTTATTCACTGTCCATCTTTCAGATGCATAAGAAGCAACTGAATAGGCTCTGCCTTGGATCAGTACAGAGACCTTAGACCTTAAACTGACACTCCTGCTCTTCAGCAATCTAGAGCGGTCCTTGAAAGCACGTGTTCCCAATGCAACACCTCTTAGGTCTTCTTGACTGCTGTTACCATGGAGGTTAACTGTGGATCCAATCTTTTCTCCATTTATCATGACATTGCTTATTGGTCCTATGGGATGATTTTTGTTTTCTTGATGCTGAGATGTAATCCAAATTGAAAATGATAGTTACTGATCTTCTGCAGCAAGCGTCTTCACTTTCAGTAACCAAAGCTGTGTCATCTGTATAAAACAGGCTGTTGAGGAGTCTTCCTCCAATCCTGATGTCATGTTTCCTTCATAAAGTCCAGCTTCTCGAATGAACTGCTCAGCATACAGACTGAATTGGTATGGAGAAAGGATACAACCTTGATGCATATCTTTTCTGATTTTTGTCTGGACAACAGCTTCTTGGTCTAGGTATAGGTTTTGCATAAGAGTAATTAAGTATTCTGGGATTACCATTCTGCTCAAAGTTAGCCATAATTTGCTATGGTCCACACAGTCAAATGCCTTGGCACAATCAATATAACATAGATAAGCATCTTTCTGATATTCTCTGCTTTCAGCCAAGATCCATCTGACATCTGCAATGATATCCCTCATGCTACAGCCTATTCTGAATCTATTTTGAAATTCTGGTAGTTCAACTGTTCCCAGTGGTTTTTAATAATGTTGATATTTAATAATATTTTAAAAATCATTTAAAATATTTAATAATGTTTTTCCTGTATGGGATATTAATGATATTGTTCCATAATTTCCACATTCTGTTGGATCACCTTTATTGGAGACAGACACAAATACAGGTCTCCTCCAATCAGCCAGGTAGATGTCTTCCAAATTTCTTGGCATGGAACAGTGAGCATGTCAGGGACTGCATCTGATTGTTGAAACATGTCAATTGGTAGTCCATCAATTCCTGGGAGCTTTTTTTTTTTTTGCTAATGCCTTCAGAGCAATCTGAATGTCTTCCTTCATTACCATTGGTTCTGGAGCAACAGCTACTTCCTGAAACATTTCAGTGTAAACCAATTCTTTGTGGTACAGTGACTCTGTGTATTCCAGTGTAGGGAGCTCTGGTGGCCTCGTGGTAAGGAGTTGTGCAGCCAACTAAGAGGCATGCTGGTCAAATCCACAAGCTGCAGTCCAGAAGACGGACAGGCAATCTCCTTTTCATATGGTCTCTAAAAATCCACTGGAGAATCAGCTCTGAGTCAGTTTCATCTAGACAACACATAACAAGCTTAACAAATAGAGTGATTTAAAGAACTACAGAGTGGTGAAAGTAGATATTATTTTTACTACTTTTAAAAACTTCCTTCATATGAGTCCTAGACAGAGCAATAAGGCAAGAAAAGGAAATTAAAGATACTAAAATTGGCAAACAGGAAGGAAAACTACTATGCAGATGATTTGATTCTAACATGTTGTTGTTGTTATGTGCCGTTGAATTGTTTGAGACTCAAAGTGACCTGTTGGGTCTCTAAAACCTACTCTATCCTATGCAAATCTTACTGTCTCTGACACACTGACCCCCATAACCCCAATCATTGAATCAATCCGTCTCATCCAGGGTCCTCCTCTTTTGCGCTGTCCTTCCACCCTCCCAAGCATGATATCCCTCTCCAAGGACTAATCCCACCATGCAACATTTCCAAAGCATGTCTGATGAAACTTCAGGATCCTTGTCTCCCAAAGAACAGCCTGGTTTCACCCTCTCTAAGACTAACCTGTTTGTTCTCCTATCATTCCATGGTCTATTCAATACTTTTCTCCAGTGCTACAACTCAAAGGCATGAATTCTCCTGCTATCATTCCTAGTCATTGTCCAGCTTTCTGATGCATAGCAAGTATTTGCAAAGACTATAGCCTGGATCTTAACATTTAATCATGCTAATGCGAAACCTATACTTGGACCAAGAGGCAGCCGTCAGAACAGAGCAGGGTAACACTTCATGGTTCAAAACTGGGAAGGGTATATGCCAGGGATGTGTCCTATCTTCATACCTGTTCAACCTGTATGCAGAGCAGGTTATCTGAGAGGCTGGACTTTATGAGGAGAAGTGTGGTGTCAGGATTGGTGGAAGATCTATTAACAATCTGCATTATGCAGATGACACAACCCTGCTTGCTGAAACTGAGGAG